TATATATATATATATATATATATATATATATATATATATATATATATAGGCCCCATCCGTGTATATCTCTACGATGTTGTGTTGTTTGTCTCTCTGTGTGGTACAGCAGCAGACGGGGGGCCCCCCGACCCCTCTATTTTGGCTGCTGGGGGCCCCTTCTTTATGGAGGGTACAGAGACGTTGAGGCCCCTTGAGCTGCTGCTGAGGGGGCCCCCATCTGTACCCTCTCTCTGCTGCTGGGCCCTGCGGTGGGAGGCCCCCAGGCTGTGTGCTGCTGCTGCGAGCCTGTCTGCTCGTCTGCTGCAGCAATGGCAGCAGCAGCAACAGCAGCAGCAGCAGCAGCAGCAGGAGGAGCGACAGCAGCACGAACGCCCTAGAAGCCGCAGCAAGTTCTCAGCAGCGAAGCATTTGCTGCTGCAGCAGCTGCAGCAGCTGCAGCAGCTGCTGCTGCTGCTTATTGGCTGGGGAGGGTTTGCTTTCGCTGGGTGCCTGGGGGCCCTCCTCCTTGCCCTGGGGGGCCCCTGCTGGGGGCCCCTCCGCATGCATCGTGTCTCCTGGTGTGTATCTACAGCAGACGGGGGCTATCTGCTGCTCTCTAAGCTGTCTCCTTTGGCAGCAGAAAAGCAGCAGGGGTTAGTAGGGGCCCCCCAGGGGGGCCCCCCATCAGCAGGGGGCCCCCAGGGGGGCCCCCCATCAGCAGGGGCCCCCTGGGGGGGCCCCCTCAAACAGTGGATTTGTACCCTTTTCACAGCAGGGGCCCCTCGGCCATGGGTACAGATGCTCACGGGGGGCCCCCAGGGGGCCCCCCCTGATGTCGGGGGGTTTGAGGCCCTCCTCATCAGCCCCTTACCCCCCAGCACAGAAGGCTATGAAGGGGGGGTACACGAGCAAGCCCAGCAGCTGCAGCAGCAGCTGCAGCAGCAGCTGCAGCAGCAGCAGCAGCAGCAGCAGCAGCACGGCAACTGGTGTCTGGCGTCTCTTCGATACCAGATGGCCCCCCAGTATGAGGGTAGGGGGGGCCCCCATGAGGATGCTGCTGCTGCTGGGGGCCCCCATGAAGGTGCTGCTGCTGTTGGGGGCCCCCGCAGCTGCAGCAGAGCGGATTCGTTGTCTCTTAGCCTGGATCAGGTGTTCCCCTCTGCATCAGATGCTGCTGCAGCAGCAGCAGCAGCAGCAGCAGCAGCAGCAGCAGCAGCGGCGGCGGTGCCCTTGCGCAGCAGCAACGAAGGGGGCCCCTGTCTGGTAACGTGGGTTGGGGCCCTTCGATGGGGGCCCCCGGGGGGGCCCCTCTGGCTGGAGACGCTGCTGACGCAGCAGCAGGCGGAGACAACCCTCAGCTGTCTGCTGCAGCTGCTGGGGTCTCGCAGGGGCCTCTCTTCTGGCTGTACCCTTTCCTCTGTCGGTGTGGGGGCCCCCTCGAGGGGCCCCCAGTACCCTGTAAGCTTACCTGTCTCCTTTTCTCTTCTCTGCTGCTGCACTGCAGCAGCAACCATCACCAATGGCTCTCAGGGGGGCCCCCCAACCTATATATATAGGGTGGGGGGCCCCTTGGGGGGCCCCCCTAAACTGGCATAAACAAAAACAGTGGTGCTCAGGGGGGCCCCCCAGGGGGGCCCCCCACGGGGGCCCCACAAATATGTTATGAATATGTTCTCTTTAATTGAGGCTTGTGCTGTCTGCTGCTGCAGGTGAAAGCAGAGACAGGGGCCAGGGGGCCCCCGGGGGCCCCTGGGGCCCCTTGTGAGGATTCGAACCCAGTGGGGGGCCCCTGGGAGCTGGTGGGGCCCCTGGCGGAGTTTTATAGGGTTTGGGGGCCCCTCGGGGGCCCCCAGGCATTGGCTCTAGCGCAGAAGCGGGGGCAGCAGCGATACAGAGATATGATGAATAGGTGGGTCCTAGCTGCTGCTGCTGCTGCAGCTGCTGCTGCTGCTGTTGCCGTTGCTGCTGCTGTTGCAGCAGCAGAAGCAGCACTAGCAGCAGCAACAGTAGCAGCAATAGCACCAGCAACATTAACAATAGCAGCAGCAGCAGCAACAGTATACGTTTCCACTCTTCAGCTGCTGCCGCTGCTGCTGCTGCTGCTGCTGCTGCTGCTGCTGCTGCTGCTGCTGGTCTCAGGCCGTATCCGCTTGCAGGGTGGAGACGGGGGCCCCGGGGGGCCCTCCTGCAGGAGGAGACAGAAACAGTACAGAGACAGAGGGGCCTGCTGCTGCAGCTGCTGCAGCGGCAGCGTGCAGACATCCCCAGGGGTAACAAACCCTAAACCCTAAACCCTAAACCCTTGCTAAACCCTTATTCTTATACACTTATTCATACCCCAAACCCTAAACCCTAAAACCAACACTTCACATCCTAAACCCTAAACCCTAAAAAACCCTAAACCCTAAAACCCTAAACCCTAGACCCTAAATTCTGATTCTCCCCACCACAGAAATACTGACACGAGGCCTTCTTGCAAACCCTAGGGTTTAGGGTTTAGGGTTTAGGGTTTAGGGTTTAGGGTTTGTGTATACCAGGCATCCCCTTGCCTGCGAACCACCTGCTACCCATCGGCCTGCTGCGGCCTGTCTCGCTGCTGCTGCTGCTGCCTAGCTGCCTGGCTCAGGGGCCCCCCCTTATACAACAAGCAGCGGCGGGGGGCCCCCTAGAAAGGTTTAAGAAGGCTCTTGCTTTTGCTGTCTCCATTCTGCATCGAGGTCTGCTGCTGCTGCTGCTGCTGCTGCTGCTGTTGCTGCTGCTGCTGCTGGTGATGGTGGTGGTGGTGGTGCTGCTGCTGCTGCTGTTGCTGCTGCTATTGTTGTAGTTTTGCTGCAGCTGTTGCTCTCGCTCCGTCAACTCTCATTGTCTCCCTCAAGGGTTTAGGGTCTAGGGCCTAGGGTTTAGGGTTTAGGGTTTAGGGTTTAGGGTTTAGGGTTTGCGTGGCTTGAGCAGGCTGCTGGCAGGCCCCGCCTCAGGCTGCGTTATTAGGGGAGACATTCCAGGGTCACCTACAGGACCCTGAGGGGGCCCCCCTGGGGGCCCCATCGGGGGCCCCCTTGGGGGCCCCCTTGGGGGCCCCCCAAGGGGGCTGGCTAGTGTATGAGGAGCAGACCGGCGTGGGGCCCCCCAGTACCCTCTTTTGTTTGTCTAGCCCGGGGGCCCTCGAGCAGATTTGGGGGCATTTGACTTTCTCTGTGAAATATAGGGTACGGGGGGGCCCCCTGTGTTGTAAACCCTAGTTTATATATATTAAACCCTAATTCCCTCTAAACCCTAAACCCTAAACCCTAATTTGTGTTCCCCTCATAAACCCTAAACAATAGACTGAGGAAGGGTTGTTGCTTATTCGTTATCTGCATAGACTTTAGGGTTTAGGGTTTATGGTTTAGGGTTTAGGGTTTAGGGTTTAGGGTTTATATTTTGTGTATGTTTTTTGTTGCTGCAGCCAAACCAGTGTGAAGTATCAGTTGTGGGGAAAGTAAATATTAGTTTCAACAAAGAGGAGACTGTCTCCTTTTCTTTGCCTAAGCTACACATCAGGGGCCTCCTATGGGGCCCCCGTCTTTTCTATTGGCAGGGGCCCCTGCATGTTCAGGGGCCCCGCATGCACTGTACCCTCATGGTCGCTGGCGACGCGCATAAGGGGGCCCCCCAGGGGGGCCCCCCCAGAGATGAAGTCTTTGGACTCGTTCTCCCGGGGGGCCCCCAACAAGGAGGAGACAGCGGGGGCCCTGGGGGCCCCCACCAAGGAGGAGACAGTGGGGGCCCCGGGGGCCCCCAGCCAGGAGGCGACAGGGGGGCCCCCGGGGGCCCCCAGCAAGGAGGAGACAGTGGGGGCCCCGGGGGCCCCCTGAAGCCCCTGGCTGTTGTGACAGGGTCTTATACAGACAGAATCTACTGGGATAGTGAAGAGTAAATCTCCCGCTGCTGCTGCTGCTGCTGCTGCTGCTGCTGCTGCTGCTACTGCTGCTGCTGCTGCTGCTGCTGCTGCTGNGCTGCTGCTGCTGCTGCTGCTGCTGCTGCTGCTGCTACTGCTGCTGCTGCTGCTGCTGCTGCTGCTGCTGTTGCTGCTACTGCTGCTGCTGCTGTTGGTGGTTTGTTGTGTGTTATGTTGACTGCTTTTGTTTCTGCGTTTCTTTTTGCTGCATAGCAGCAGCAGCAGCAGCAACAGCAGCAGCATCAACAGCAGCAACAGCAGCAGCAACAGCAGCTGGTGTATGTTTGTCTCCTTTTTGTGTATACAGACTGTGGGGTGTACACGCAGCTAAAACTTTGTCTCTTTTCTCTGTCCCCACAGAGGAGGCCCTCTCCATAGACAGCAGGTAATCTGTCTCCTTATTTACATTAAACAAAAGGAGACAGTCCCCCTTCTGTCTCTCTGTCTCCTTTTCTTAAATACAGCAGCAAGGGGGGCCCCCAACAGCAGCAAAAAGGGGGGCCCCCTGCGCTAGTTGCCTCTCGGGGGCCCCTGGGGGGCCCCAGGGGGCCCCCCGGGGCCCCTGCCGCTGGCAGCAGGCCTGATGATGAGGTGTGCATGCTTGTATATCTAATATATCTCTTTGTGCTGCTGCTGCTGCTGTTGCTGCTGCTGCTGCTCCTGCTGCTGTTGCTGCTGCTGCTGTTGCTGCTGTTGCTGCTGCTGCTGCTGCTGCTGCTGCTGCTGCTGCTGCTGCTGCTGCTGCTGCAGGTTTAGGGTTGATAGTTTGCTGCTGGCGTTGGGGGCTGAGGAGAAGGCTGATGCTATTCGGAGGAGACAGCTGGCCATAGAAGCAGCAGATATGTGAGCAGCCTGCTGCTGCTGCTGCTGCTGTTGCTGCTGCTGCTGCTGCTGCTGCTGCTGCTGCCCTTGCTTCTGCTGTTGTTGTCGCTGCTGCTGCTGCTGCTGCTGCTGCTGTTGCTGCTGCTGTTGCTGCTGCTGTTGTTGCTGCTGCCGCATTATAGTCTTTAGTTTTTGTGTGTGTGTTTCTGTCTCTGTCTCTGTCTCCTCCTGTTTGTCTCCTTCTCTCTTCTGTCTCCTTTCTGTCTCCTTTCTGTCTCTTTTCTTTCTCTTTTCTTTCTCTTTTTTTTTTCTCTTCTGCTGCTCTCACTGCAGCGCCAGCCAACAAAGAGCAGCAGCACAACACTCTCAGGGGCCCCCCCCAGAACAGGCAGGGGCCCCAAGGTGACCCATTGGGGGCCCCCAACCCGAGGGGCCCCCAAAGTACCCAGGGGGCCCCCAGGGGGCCCCCAACAGATACAGGGGCCCCCAGCAGAGACAGGGGGCCCCCTATCTCTTACCTCAGCCCCTCCTTTAGAGGCTGAGGGGCCCCCAACAAAAAGCCCCAATAAGACCCTTCAAGGGGGGGCCCCCCAGGGGGGGCCCCCAAGCGGGGGCCCCCAAGGGGGGCCCCCAGGGGGGCCCCCTAAGAGGGGACTCCAAGAGGGTCCCCCAGGGGGGGCCCCCCAAAGGGGGCTCTAAGGGGGGCCCCCCTTGGGGGCCCCCTGGGGGCCCCCAATGCCCCGGGGGGCCCCCAAGGGGGGCCCCCAATGGGGCCCCCGGGGGCCCACATTGGTGTCTATTAAGCTGTGAAGAAACCGCCGAAGATATTTCTGGCGAATCCAGGGTTGTAGTGTTCCCCTGTAGAGTGTACATACACCTCAGCAGCAGCAGCAGCAATGCATGCAGTAGTGAAGCAGCAGCAGCAGGAGTAGCAGCAGCAGCAGCAAACAGCAACAGCAGCAGCAGCAGCAGCAGGAGTAGCAGCAGCACCAGCAATATGAGCAGCAGCAACAGCAGCAGCACTAGCACGAGCACTAGCAGCAACAGCAACAACAACACTAACAACAACAACAACAACAACAACAGCAGCAGCAGCAGCAGCAGCAGCAGCAGCAGCAGCACGGACTTGGTGTTGAGAGGTCTGGCCTGACTCTATAAGAAACTATGCGGGGGGCCCCCACTGCATCTTCGGGGGGGGGGCCCCCCAGGTGCCCTGGTTGTATGCGGCGGGTACCCCTTATAGCGTCAAAGGGGCCCTTGTCTATACATAAGAAAAGAGACAAATATATAAAAAAAAAAAAAAGAAAAAAGGAAAAAGAAAAAAGGAGACAGATGTATAAAAAAGAAAAAAGAAAAAAGGAGACAAATATATAATAAAGAAAAAGGAAAGGAGACACATATATAAAAAATATATATGCTGCTGCAGCAGCAGCAGCAGCAGCAGCAGCAGCAGCAGCAGCAGCAGCACCAGCACCAGCAGCAGCAGCAGCAGCAGCAGCAGCAGCAGCATAAGTTTTTTTACCATTATGTTTTGCTGCTATCATCCTCAGGAGGCCCTCTCTTTGGGGGGCCCCCAATTCACCTACATTAGGAGACAGGGCCCCCCGGCATATGCTGTTGTTCTTATCTACCCACCGCTGCATACAAAAAAAAAAATAAATAAATAAAATAAAATAAAATAAAATAAAGAAAATAAAATAAATTAAATTAAATTAAAACACCGAAAATATGGAGCGTAAAAAGGGGTCTTTAGGGGCCCCTTCAACAGCAACAGCAGCAACAGCAACAGCAGCAACAGCAGCAACAGCAGCAGCAGCAGCAGCAACAGCAGCAACAGCAGCAGCAGCAGCAGCAGCAGCAGCAGCAGCAGGGGGCCCCCACCATGCATTCTTTTTGCGAGGAGAAGGATGTTAGGGGCCCATAGAAGACCCCTCTATAAGAGGGTCCTGATATACACAAACACCACACACACACAAATTCAGGGGGCCCCCCGCTGCCACTGTATGGGGCCCCCTGGGGGCCCCCTGGGGGCCCCCCCCGCTAGGGGGCCCCCTAGGGGGCTCCCCCCTGCTACCGTGTAGGTTAGCTTAGGGGCCCCCCAGCTACGGGGGCCCCCCCTAAGGGGCCCCCCCGTGCTACTGTATAGGGCCCCTCAGGGGGCCCCCACTGCCGATCTGGGGGGCCCCTTGGGGGCCCCTATGTTGTCACTGCGTAGGGGCCCCTAGGGGGCCCCCACTGCTACTCTATAGGGTACCCGAGGGGGCCCCCCATTACCACTGCAGGGGGCCCCTTAGGGGGCCCCCCAGTCAATGCATCGCGTGCCTTAGGGGGCCCCCCTGTCTGTGGTTAGAGCCCCTTAGGAGGCCCCCTTATTCTTATGTGTTGGTGGGGGCCCCCCCGGGGGGGCCCCCAAAGGGGGCCACCGAAGGGGGCCCCCCCATGGGGGCCCCCAAGCAGGCACCCGGGTCGAGGCAGTGTAGTTGGGGGCCCCCACCAGAAAAGTATCAATCCATAGGGGGCCCCTAGGCACGCTACAGGGGGGCCCCCCTCGTCGCGGTGTCTGTCAACCCACCAGAGGTAGTAGAGGGGCCCCCGGGGGCCCCCGGGGCCCCGGGGGCCCCCGGGGCCCCCGGGGCCCCTGTTGTACATAGGCCCCTACGAGGTCCGATGGTTTGCTGGCTATCCATTGTGGTCTGCTGTTGCTGCTGCTGCTGTTGCTGCTGCTGCTGTTGCTGCTGCTGCTGCTGCTGCTGCTGCTGCTGCTGCTGCTGCTGCTGCTGCTGCTGCTGTTGGGTGGGAGTGACCGTCGGGGGGAGCGGTGACCCAGGTGACCCCGGCAAGCAGCGCAAACCCTAAACCCTAAACCCTAAACCCTAATATTTCTATAAACTCTTAGTGTTTATAAAAATATAATTACATTCGCATTTCCACTGTAATATAATATTAAGGGTTACAAAACAAGGGGGCCCCCGACGGGGCCCCTAGGGGCCCCCAGGGGCCCCCGGGGGCCCCCAGGGGCCCCCAGGGGGCCCCTGCTGCTCGGGTATATAATAAGTGGGTTTTGTGTATATGTTCAGAGTTTGTGTTTAAATATATTTGTTTATAATGGTTTAGTTTGTTTTATTTTATTTATTTCTGCTGCTGCTGTCTCCTTGTTGAGGGAGAAAGCAAAGCGCTGGCCCATGAGCTAGGGTTTAGGGTTTAGGGTTTAGGGTTTAGGGTTTAGGGTTTAGGGTTTGGAGGGAGAAGTAAGATTCTATATATTTATAACAAATGAAACTTTAGGGTTTACTGCTGCGTGGGTTTTATAAGGGAGGATTTCGGGTCTACATAACCCTAAACCCTAAACCCTAAACCCTAAACCCTAAACCCTAAACCCTAAACCCTCAGATAGGGGTCATCATACAGCCAGAGGCAGCACACATATATGAAAAGAAAAGGAGACAGCAGAGGGGGAGGGGACAGACGAGCGAGAGACAGGTAGACAAAGGAGACAGAAAGGAGACAGAGAAAGGGGACAGAGAGATAGAGAGAGATAGAGAGAGACAGAGAGAGAGACAGAGAGGAGACAGAGAGACAAAGAGACAGAAAAGAGAGACAGACAGAGAGAGAGTGAGACAGAACGCAATACAAAAAAGAAACAAAGAGAGACAAAAGGGAAACAAATAAAAAAACAAAAGGAGACAAAAAAGAGACAAAAAGGAGACAAATAAAAAAACAAAAGGAGACAAAAAGGAGACAAA